ACCAACGGGGGACAGGGAGACGTGCACGCCAACAGACACGAGCACGGGAAACCAACGGGGGACAGGGAGACGTGCACGCCAACAGACACGAGCACGGGAAACCAACGGGGGACAGGGAGACGGGCCTGGGAGTTCAGGGACACAAGCAGAGCTGCTGCTGCTGAAAAGCCTCAGAAAGAGGAAACTCTGCCAATCGTTTCTTTTCTTTTCCTCCCACTCTCTCCTTTCTTCTCCTCTCTGTCTTTGACGAGCCGTTTCCAATCACATCTGTGTGTGAGTGTGTGTGAGTGTGTGTGAGTGTGTGTGAATGTGTGTGAGTGTGTGTGTGAGGCAGTAATCTGATTACAGGTCGCCTGCAGCTACACCTTTTCTCCTACGATGTGAATCTCGGCTGTTTGAACACAAAGCTAAGTTAAATTTAAACGCAGCGATATGAAGTGGAATCTGATGTTTTAACTTCAGCTATCGTGTCAATTACCACAGCCTACATCACCGCCCCCCACCGCCGCCGCCGCCGCCACATACAGGCTGTGAAGGGAAACAGACGCCCAGCAGCCGTGGTTCTCCAGCACTGTGGAGGCTGGTGGTGGTGACGGGCCCTGGCGGTCAGGACGGACGCATCGTCGACCATCGGCAGGTCGGCTAATCCCCGGTTAATCCTCCTTGTTAGCGGCACGCTCCAATTAGCCCCACCTGCTGCTCCTTAATTAACCAAATCCCTCGTTAACGCGCGGCTCCGGAGCCCGACAGCTGTCGACATGATGACTGTTACCGAGGATACCGCCTCCCTGGATGGCTGTCAAACTTTACTTCAAAGTGTTGCTGGTGGCGCCTGATCTTACCTGACGGGGGCGCCGCGGCTCTGGGCGGGCCTCAGCAGAACCGTGACGGAGGAGTCGGTCTGGTTCAGGGGCGACTCCTGATCGTAGGCTGGCATCAGAGGAGCTGGGGGGCAGAAAACAAGGTTACCTCCTTCAACAGCTCCACCTCCAGCCACAGCAGGAAGGGGGCGCCGTGGCTCGGTCCATTCCGGACCTGAACGGGACGAGTCGTTTGGTTTCCTATAGATCCTCTCTGAACACTGGACCAAACTGGGAGCAAACTGGTTCTGGTAAAAAGCTTTGAAACTCTGTGATCCAGTTAAATAAAGGAAATGGATGTGATTCACTCAGTCGGCCTTTTATTCATCTTTGCATAGAGGAGAAACCATAACGCTGCTGGATGCTGGATGCTCTGACCAGAACTAGTTTCTCTCACTAACCTAAGAAAAGGTTCTCTGCAGGCTCCTGATCACTGCAGGTAGAGACAGTGGAGGAGAACAGTAAAATGTTAGAAACCCTGAGAACCAGTCTGGATCGTCATAGAAACACAGGCCATTTCTCACTACGTCTGCTCATGAAACGTCATCGCTAGCCAGGGCTATCGTTAGCCCGTCTGCAGCAGCCAGGGCTAAGGAATGCTGTGGACCTCCTGGTTTCTGTGGACCTCCTGGTTTCTGTGG